TGCATGATAGTCCCGAGACTAAAAGGCAGCCGCACCTGGACCGGCTGCTGGGCGACGTCACTGTACTGCGTTCTCCCTTCTTCGGTTCCGGAAAGCTGTAGTACTACCTTGCCGCCCGGCGCCCGGGTCTGGAGGTGGCGGCGTCGACGCCAAACCTGCACCGCTGTTACTTGAGGCAAGACCCGGTCTTCCTGCGCTCCTTGCTGCGCCTGGCGGGGCGCAAGGTGGACAGGCGCTTCTACTTCAGGCACCTTCTGCGAGAGCTCGCGCCGGGCGTCGGGCTGCTCATACACCCTGCTGCGCAACAGCTTCTCGGGAAAGTGGGGCTCCTTCGCGCAGCAGCGGCCACTCCACGGGCGCTGAGCGGCGTGCAGCGTCTGCAGCGGCCACCGACTAATGTGACCGTGCGGCGCCAGGATGCGCTGGCCTATCTACTTGCCTGGCCGGAGGAGGCGGGGGCACGCTTAGAGCTCCGAGACGCGCTCTTCGCGAGCGGCCGCCCTTCGTCCTGAGCATCAACAACGTGCCAGAGGCCTGGGAGCTCTACAGCAGGGCCGACTCCATCACAAGCCTGTGCTCGGGCAGAACAGTTCTAAGCCCGAGCTGCTGGTGATCCTGTTGTCAGCGCAGGAGCAATCCTGCGCCCAACGCAGGATTGAGTGGAGCAATCCTGTGCTCGGCGCAGGATTGAGTGGAGCAATCCTGTGCTCGGCGCAGGATTGAGTGGAGCAGGATTGTGTGCTCGGCGCAGGATTGACTGAAAGGCGACTCTGCCTGTGCTGTAGCGAGAAGCGCATCGCTGACAGACCTTTGGCGCTGCGGTAGTGGCCCGCACCAGGAGGTCCGCACCAGGCCCGCACCAGGCCCGCGCCAGGCCCGCACCAGGGTAAACCAACTCTGGCATGTGATGCGTCGCTGACGGCTGGGTTTTTCGGGCAAAATCGGAAGCTTGGAGCAAAGTCGGAATTCCGACCTCGGTGGATGGAACTCCGGCCTCGCTTTTCCAAGTACGAAAGCTTGGCTCAAGCGCTTGCAGCTCCCTTGTTTCAGTGGTTATCTGCACCACCCTGGTCCGGGGCTCGATTCCCACCTGCGACCGGGCATTAATGAACCAACATTGCCCATTGATGAATCAACCCGTTCCAATATAGACTCAAACTTGCCGAGATCTTAGAGCCCTGCTAGTTCGGCAGGTTGCCGCGTTAGACCCGGAAGCCGTTCGGCAGATTGGCGTATTAGGCGACGAATGCGTTCGGCAGGTTGCCGCGTTAGACCCCGGTGACGAAGGCTGACAAGTTCGGCAGGCTGTCGTGTCACAAGCCAGGACCTCGGCAGGCTGTCGCGTCACGAGCAAGGACCTCGGCAGGCTGTCGTGCCACGGAAAACCCTGCGAAGAACAAAGTCCTCCAAAACTCGGGAACTGGGCCGCTTTTGCGCACTTTTTCGGCCCAAAAGAGAGCGGTGACAAAGCGGTGACAAACGGTGACAAGCTCGGCGGGATTGGAGTTTGCCTGCTTTTCCGGGCTGGAAATGGAATCGAGAGCACAGCGAGCGTCTGGAGCCTGTTTTCGACCGAAAACGAGCGAATCTGGAGGCTCAGGCACCCCACTTTGTCTTCTTCTGCGCGGAATGGAGGCGAGTCAGCTTCCGGGGGGGGGGGCGAAGGGGGAATGTGCAGCTTTGGAGTTGGGTGTTGTTGTTGTCTGCTTTCTTTTTTTGGGGGGGCGGGGGCCAGTCAGCTTCCGGGCTGTGAAGGGGGAATGATGTGAGTCAGCTTTGGAGTTGTGTGTGATGTTGTTGTCTTCTTCTGCGGGGAATGGAGGCGAGTCAGCTTCCGGGGCTGCGAAGGGGGAAGGGGGGCGAGTCAGCTTCCGGGGTGGGTGTTGTTGTTGTCTTCTTCTGCGGGGAATGGAGGCGAGTCAGCTTCCAGGGGGGCGAAGGGGGAAGGGGGGCGAGTCAGCTTTGGAGTTGGGTGTTGTTGTTGTCTGCTTTCTTTTTTTGGGGGGGCGGGGGGCGAGTCAGCTCCAGGGGGGCGAAGGGGAATGGGGGCGAGTCAGCTTCCAGGGGGCGAAGGGGAATGGGGGCGAGTCAGCTTTGGAGTTGGGTGTGAAACTGTTGCTGTTGTTGTCTGCTTTCTTTTTTTGGGGGGGCGGGGCGAAAAAACAAACTTTTCGGAGTTGGCCGTTTTGAGAGCTTTTTGCACCAAAAACGGAGCGGTGACAAAGACCGGTGACATCGGAAAAACGTTCAGCTGGATGGAGAATTCGGCTGTTTTGCAGGGTTTTGGGACAAAAAAACCCAAATAATTAGGGTGCAATAGGCATTCTTTCCTTACTACTCTAACTACCCAAGTCAGCATGATGAAACGTGTGTCCACCTCAATGCGCGTGGAGAGGTCCAACGTGATAGTGTGGCTCGCCTTCCGGAAGGTAGCGGAGACCGCATGCGTTTCGACTTGATGAAGCTCAGGTCACGCAACTCCCGACTTTTGACCGTGTATCTTTGATTCCTTGCGCGCGCAACAAACTGCTTGGTTGCGTGTTTTCTTTTTTGGTTTGTGCGTGTCTGCGTGGTTCGTTGTCCGTTTGGTGCCTTGTTTATCTGTTTCGTTCACAAGGCTTCTCTTTGTCTCACCTGTCTCACTTCACCAGTATATCCGATGCACATTTGGTTTCGTGACCGATGGCAATTGCAGGTGAAAAAAAATAAATTTCTGCGGCGCCAAGTTGGTGGGCAGGGCCTTCAGCCGCGCCTCCTCGCAGTCTGGCTTCCGTGCCCAGGCGCAGTCCAACCGCGCCCCTTCTCTTGGGGCCTAAATCCCGTGACCCTGCCCCAGTCTCAGCCGAGCTCGCGGGCGAGCTCCAGTTCCGGGCAGTCGCGCAAAAAAAAAAACCCTCAGGGAGAGTTTTTTTGCACGGCTTTGCGCTACAAAATGCTATTCTTCTAGGCCGTACGTAAATGTCCACCCTAGAAGAATAGCTTTTGCACGGCTACAAAATGCTATTAGTCTAGTCCGTACATAGATGTACGGACAAGACTAATAGCTCGTTTTGCACGGCTTTGCGCGAAAAAATGCTATTAGTCTAGGCCGTACATAAATATACGCTAGACTAATAGCTTGTTTTGCACGATTTTGCACTGAAAAATGCTATTCCTCTAGTCCGTATATCTACATACGCACTAGAGGAATAATTTCCTTCGCCTTACGACTCAAAATGTGTGTATATAAACAAGCATGGAGGTAGTCACCGCCGGAGCCCAGGATGAGCTGATGCAGAGCCTGGACTACAAGCTGAAGACGAGCAACACCAGCTACGTGACGGCGCGGCACGACGTGCAGTACTTCCCCAGCTTGCTGAGCTTGTTCTCCCCCACAACCTCTCGGGTCTGCCGCATCCCGCTGACCAGTGGCACGTCCTTCATCGACCCCGAGTCGATCAAGATCGCCTTCCGCGTCAGGAACACGGACGGCACCAACCCGCTGGCCCAGCCACGCCCAACCCCGCCTGCTTCGTCCAACACGTCCAGATCTTCGCCAACGGCCAGCGCTGCGACGACATCAACTACTACGGCCGCACCGTGGCCGTGCACGACCTGCTCAAGGGCCGAGAGTCTAACCGTCGACGACCCCCGCATCGCCCGCGCGGCACCAGGGCGGCTACGCGGACGTGCTGCCGCCGCAGCTGAACCTGGTGATCGAAATCGAGTTCGCGGACGCCACGACGGCGCTGTGGTCCGAGAACGCCGGGGCGCACCCGCCGGGCGCCACGCTGAGCACCGACTTTGAGATCCAGAACGTCCGAGTCCTGGCCTCCCAGGTCGTCTTGGACTCGGCGCTGGTCGAGTCCTTCAACCGCGTGCTCCTCTCAGGAAGGTCGCTCGTGTTCAGCTACCCCACGGTGCACACGCAGCAGTCCAGCGTCCCGAACAGAGTCGCGGAGCACAACGTCACCGTGGCGCGCGCCTTCACGAAACTGATGGGCACGTTCGTGACCTTCTGGGAGATTGCTGGCCAATCCGGGGCAGGATGTGGCGCCCATCGGCGCAGCGAGGCAGGAGGACAGCCTCCTGGAGTCGCAGATGCAGCTGGGCAGCCTGCAGTACCCTCGCAACCCCATGAAAGGAGCCTCGAAACACTTCCACTTCCTCTCGGTCCTGACACGGCAATGTCTGCTTATGTGAGGCAGCAAAGAGCTATTGCACTTTCATCATGCAAGAGTGAGTATTATGCTATGACGTCAGGCTTGTCTGAAGGACTGCTACTTCATGATCTGATGCAGTATCTTTTGGACATGAAGCGCAAGCTGGAGGTGAGAACAGATAGTTCTTCGGCAAGACAGGTGGGTGAGAGGCTTGGAGTTTCAAAGACCAGACACTTGTCAACCCGTGCACTATGGCTTCAGAAGGCAGTAGCTGACAAGAAGTGCGTTTTAAGGCCAGTGCCCACAGAGCTGAACCCTGCAGATCTGAACACAAAGTTGCTGAGTCAAGCCAGGATGAAAGGTTTGGCATGCCTGATTGGTATTAGGCAAGGAAATGAGATTCCATATGGCGCAGATGAGCTGGAGGAGATTTGGAATATTCTTCAGAGGCGAAGAGCGATGAAAGATGTGTTCAGAGTGATTGTGCAGAGTGAATCAAGTGTGAGAAGACTTGAGAGAGAGCATGCGACAGTTATTGTATGCAATATGAAGGAGAAGCTGATGTGCGCGTTATTATTGGAGCTGTCAGGAAAAGCAATGGCAGGAAGCTTGGAACATGGAGACAGCGTGATTGTGTATGTGCATTTGCAATATGTATTGAGTGTGTTTTGCAGTATTTGGACACTATATGCCGTGTGTGGATTTCTGATGTGTATTGGATTTCTTAAATGGTTGGAGCACCGTGAGAGAAAGGTGTATGAGGGGTGCATGGAAGGGTGTCGAAGTATTGCAGATGGAGACTATTTTCAGAGCAGACTGGAGAGATTACATCACAGTGTGGAAGATATGATTTCGCAGATGCAAGCTTTGCGAGAGGACGACCGCGAGACTCGACAGATGAGTTGGATATGGCATGAATTAGATGTGGTGAAAGGACAAATTCAGGAGTGGATTGGCCGAGTCGTGGTCATTGAAAAAGCGGTGGAGCGACAGCAGAGCAAGGAGATCAGCGATGCTGAGTTTGCAAGACGAGATTCTGAAGCAATGAACCGGAGCAGCAGCTATCTGGATGACACAACGTGGGCAGATCAGTTGAGGGAAGAAGGTATACATCCACTGACTGGTGAGACGTTGACTTCAGATGGTTCAGGAAGTGAGTGCAGTTGATATTCATCCCTATGTGCATGGCAGATGGATGGATTTGCATTCAGAGATGAGTTCCAGAATTTTCCCATATTGGCTTGATGAAAGGGCCAGGGACTTTTCACAAATGCGTAGCGCCTTGAGCTGTATAGACTGAAAGGCGAGAATGTTTTCCCCAAAAGCCACTTTGAAGATTGCCACATGGCAAAGCCAGCGGGGTGATAAAGGTTTACGTTTGGAGCACCCACTCAAACACGTGTGTGTGCATGATGTGAAACATCAGGATGAACCTTTGTAAGTTTGCAGTTGGAACGCTTGGCAATAGACCATGTGTTACCGATGAGGCGCTTTTCGGTTCGCAAGGAAAAGTTAGGAGCAGAGCACACTTGCGCTTCTTTGCAAAGCACACTTGCGCTTCTTTGCAGAGCACTCTTCTTTGCAGAGCACACTTCTTTGCAGAGCACACTTCTTTGCAGAGCACTCTTCTTTGCAGAGCACACTTGCGCTTCTTTGCAAAGCACACTTGCGCTTCTTTGCAGAGCACTCTTCTTTGCAGAGCGCACTTCTTTGCAGAGCACTCTTCTTTGCAGAGCACACTTGCGCTTCTTTGCAAAGCACACTTGCGCTTCTTTGCAGAGCGCTTATCTTTGCAGAGCACACTTCTTTGCAGAGCACACTTCTTTGCAGAGCACACTTGCGCTTCTTTGCAAAGCGCACTTGCGCTTCTTTGCAGAGCACTCCTCTTCTTTGCAGAGCACACTTGCGCTTCTTTGCAAAGCACACTTGCGCTTCTTTGCAAAGCACACTTGCGCTTCTTTGCAGAGCACTCTTCTTTGCAGAGCACACTTCTTTGCAGAGCACACTTCTTTGCAGAGCACGCTTCTTTGCAGAGCACACTTCTTTGCAGAGCACGCTTCTTTGCAGAGCACGCTTCTTTGCAGAGCACGCTTCTTTGCAGAGCACGCTTCTTTGCAGAGCACACTTCTTTGCAGAGCACGCTTCTTTGCACCTTGAAATGCAACCTGGAGCCAAATTGCAAGCGTATCTCGGGGTCGTTATGTTGCAGCCACACGCCTGCACGCAGCGTTTTAGGTTTCGAATCCTTTGCAGGACGAGGTCGTTTCCTGGACGGACGAGTGTCAGGAGCCTACCAGGTGGAATAGATTGGGAAACCCCCTCTAAAGCCTGCTGCTGAAGCACAAGTTTCTTGACGGCGGAGCCAACGACGTTACGCTGGCCACCCTGGGCAAGGTGCTGCTGGACGGCCAGCTTCACGGTGGGAGCTTCGAGCTGAAGGGCTACGCCATGACCCTAAGCGCCTTTGCCTGGAACATCGCGCGCCCGTCGACACTCCGCCGCTCGTGGCCGTAAAGGTGCAGTTTGCTGTTGGTTCACCAATGGCTGTTTATGACCTGGCCATAGCGAAACGAGTTGAGCGCTGTTGCTGATGCGAAAGAGTGTAAACACGTTTACACTATGTCCGAGGCGCCACGTTTTGCCAGCGTGTTGAACCCATTTGACATTTTATGTCATACCAACCTGCGAGGTTTGAACGTGTGAGGGATTTTAACATGCTGGGTTTTTTGACACGTCGCGACGTTTTCGACAAGTTGGGCGGTTCATGAATTTACAGGATGTCGTGACGTTTTGGCACAAGAGTGTCCAAAGGGACACGATGGAGTGCCGGCAAACAGTGAGTCGAATTTGTTTTCTTTCTAGCGGCACATGTGCAACTGTTTGCGGCGTCGTGGTCATCGAGCTATTGTTAACTGGTCACGTATTATTCGTCAGCTGAGATCTTTGCGGAAATTGCAAAGGCTTTTCCATTTGTCTGGGATCTTTTTGCAGTGCTACAAGCGTTCGCTGGCGTTTGGAGTGACCTGGTTGTTGCTCGGTGAAGTATGACTGCGCCTGACCGTGTGAAGCGTAAGTTGCAATTGGACTCCCCTGCTGGTTCTTCTTCGAGTTCCTCCTGGGCTCTGGTCACCGGTGGTGCAGACAAGGGAAAGTGAAACGGTGCCGAATTTGATGCGGATGTTTATCAAATGCATGTACATGCAACATGGAGCAGGATGAGCAAATCCGCACGCAAGATGCCTTGGGAATTCAGTGATGAAGCTGTTTGTGACAAGCTGTGCTGGTGGAACCATGCTATCCCTAGGCCTGTAGGCTTGATGCCGCCTATTCCGAAACTTCGGTCTTCTACCGCTGAGCGTAGCCGCGAAGAATTTCAGGCTACTTTATGCAACAGGCTTGTGGAGCCCTCCAAGGATATCGGCTGGGAACCTAAGTTGGCAGCAGAGAGAGAAGCGGCTTTGGTAAAGTGGTCTGCTCTTGTTGCCAATAACCCTGATGCATGGTAGACAGAGTCAAAGAGGACGATGATGAGTCTTGCAGCTTTGAGGCAGCGCTCTGTATGTCAATCAAGGACTCCTTGGCGAGCAGGGCGACTTACGTTGCACAACCGCGCGGGGCCTCTCATCAGGTATGCTAAGTATTGGCGCGACAAAGGCATGAAATTCTTTCCTGTCGAGGAGAAGCAGGTGTATGCTTTCATTCGAGATGGAACTGCGTACGCTGCAACTTTCCCGAGGTCTCTGACGCTGTCCCTTGCTTTTGCACACTATGTCTTGGGCCTCAAGGGAGTTGAGAATGTTTTGCCTTCGGGAAGGGTGAAAGGAGCTGTTTCAGAATTTTATGTCACAAAGAGGAGGTTGAAGCAGAGGCCTCCGCTACATCTGGAAGACGTGAAAGCTCTCGAGAAATACGTTTGCAATCCGACTGTCAATCAACCTGACAGGCTTGCGGCTGGCTTTTTCTTGCTATGTATTTACACGAGATGCAGGTATAGCGATTGTTTATCAATTGATAAGTTGGAGTTGGATTTTGTCGAGAACAAGTTTGAGAATGGGTTCATTGAAGGCAGAGCGACGAGGTGCAAGACGAATTCGACCATGAGAAGAAGAGGAGATTCCTTCCTGTCGTTGGTTTTTTTACGAATTTTTCGGGCTATGAATGGCAATGGGAATGGATGCAGTTGCGGAAAGAACTTGGTCTTGATGGCCAACCTGGTCCGCTCTTGCCTGCGCCAGTGAAAGGTGGCGGCTTCTCCAAGGCGCCGCTGAAAGCTGGGGAGGCCAGCGATTGGTTGCGACAGATCCTCGACAAGGCAAGGCCGAGCACGAATCATGTGGACGAGGGCGCGCGTTCTTTGAAAACAACCTTTTTGGCGTGGGCTGCGAGGTATGGCGTGTCGTTGAGTGACAGGCGTTTGCTGGGTTACCACAGCGCTTCGAAAGATAAGTCTGCGCTTACCTATTCCCAAGATGCAGCAAGTGGCCCTCTTCGTCGTCTCAAAGAAATGGTTGATGCTATCAATTCGGATGTTTTCAACCCTGACGAAACCAGGTCTGGATGTTTCTGCCGCCCACAGAACGTGGAGGCATCGCAGCCGGAAGGTGTTGAAAGTTCGTCTTCGGAATCGTCGGCAGACGAGGGGTCTGAAGATCCTGAGGCTGAAGAAGTTGCCGTGGAGGAGATTGTTGGGACGTGGGAGCCTGCTGACATTCATGGGAGCGAAGATGGTGAATACTTTCGACATCGTGTCTCAAGGTATCTTCACAGGACTGCGGATGAAGCAGGCTCCGAGTTTATCTGCGGCAGGAAGATCAACTTGCGGTGTATCAGGCTGGGCAAGAGGCCCGAATTCATGTACCCGAGTTGCAGCATTTGCTTCAAGTGAGAAAACAGATACTCTGTTTCTGGTTCGATCCCCCTTTGACTCCGTTGCTGAGCTAATGTTTAAGAGTTTCGGGGCTGCGGTCGGTTGCTGTGCCGTTTGAGCAATTTGCATGCGTGTTGCGGATTGTCGGCAGTTGAATTGGACAACACGAGACGGTAGTGAGCATGTCGGTGTCTTGCGTGAGATGCTCGAACAAGGGTTGCGCGAGCGACATGGCAAGCTATGCGGAGAGCGCAGCTGTGTTTAAGGCCAGATGCTTGGCTGTTGGCCTGGAGGAGGCAGATCATGAGAAACTGGTGCAAGCTGGCCTCAAGACTCTTGCTCAGTTTGCATTTATGTTCCTGGTGGCACGGAATCTGATTTTGTCAGTGTGATGACAAAAGCCCTCGGTGCAGAACCGGGGCTTGGTCAGATGGCTTGTTTGAGGCGCCTCCACAGCGAAGGCTATGGGATCGCGGCGACTGAACTTAAGCAGCAGCTTGAATCTGGAGAAGATTTGAGCTCTAGGAAGTTAGCCGTTGCAGAAAGGGCAGAGAGACTGGAATCCCAGCGCAAGAGGCTAGCGGGAGTTTCGATAAGAGGGCCGACTGAGCCTTCTGATTCTCTGGTTGACTTCTTTGTTGGAGTGTACGATGCGGACAGGCTTCGCTACCTGGAATGGAACAAATGCACTTCTCGAGAGAGTGAATTGTTGCATGGAAAGAAAGAGACTGCTCTCAAGGTTGAGAATGGCATGCTCAAAATTCAGAAGAACGAGATGACGGAAGAGGCGGACACATCGACAGAATTGTTGATTCGTCACTGTCTCACTCGTCGTGCTTTGGCAATGGAGCAGGCCAACCTTTTGAATTTTTCTTTTCACGAGCAGTGGAGTGAAGCTCTCATGGCTGCCAGGTTGCGTACACCGCCAGCTGGTTACATGCGTGTGAGCATTTCGCAGTTGAGGGACGCGGATCGCAAACTGTTCGCATGCCTTTCAGAGAAGTGCAACGGAGGGCTCAAAGCCAGGGCGAGTGGCAGACCGCTTGATTTGGTTTTCGAAGAAGTGATGCGATCTTCTGAAGTACAGCACATGCTGCAACCCATGCAAGGAAAGTCTGAGGGCCCGAGAAGTTCGGGTTCTCGGGATGCAGCAGTTGGATCGCCATCAAAGAAGCAGAAGTTTCCCTCTGCCCCGGCAAAGGGCAAAGGTGG